TTAGATCCTTGTACAGATGAAAGCTATTCACAAAGCATTGCTGAACAACAGAATTTATCAAATGCCAGATTAGATCATAGTCATAATGTTTGTGGTTGATTTCATTAGAAGTGCGCTCATATCTCCCCCTAATGCAATAATGCCAGAAAGTGATCACAAAATTAAGATAATTTGGCAACTGAAAAATGAAACAGTGCAGCAGTGATGACATTTGTCTGTTGCAGCCTCCTATCAGCAGAGTGGTCACACACACTGTTACAGCCCTTTCACATCTCACACTGTGACGCATTACATTTCATTTTCCACTGTAGTTCACAGACACAGTCACATGGCTTTGTGATTTTCTAATATGGTGATGCTGCACATCATCACACATCAGAAAATGATGACATTCTTGAGCAATTTTTTTCCTAATATCAAATAAATTAAACGAATAAGTATTAAAATGAGTAGCATGGTAAATAAACTTAAATAATTAAATATGACAACCATCAGCAGAGTAAATGTTCTGCCACACACTGAGCTCTACCTTCAACAGAGCCAGCTCATCGAGACACGTGATTGGCTGAAATATTGCACCAAGAGAACATTCTTACATTCAGTAGCAGTCACTTTTTATTTATAATTTCATTGCAGCAAGACTTGAAATTAGAGTCTTTCACTTGTTTTTCTGATGAGGAGTTAAGATAATGTGGACCAAGGGCTGCACGCTGCAAGCTGGTAACACCATATTGACATTGTGAGTTATGTGTCAGTTCTCAGCAGCTGGTGCCACTCCCACATGATCAAGAAGCCTAGCAGTGGGTCAAAGAAAATGCAAAGCAAACTCAAACTCAAGCATTTGAAATAGCAGTGCTATGTTTTGGAGCTACACTATTTTCTCCAAACAGTAAAAACTAGTTGCTGTTTGTAGAAAAAAGCTGGGCTTCATTCATTCAATGAAGTTTTACATTGGAGTATTATTCAACAATCAAAAAAAGAGTTGTATAGAAACCTTTTAGGAGACACGGTGACCTGAGAAGTAGGCTATAAGAGAGGGGTGGTTTTAAAAAAAAACTATAGGGGTACGTTACACATCCAACAATCAAATATGTTCCCTTCAAAACATATCTGCGTTTGTAGTTTAGCTGCATAATTTAGGAGCATAGTTTTTCATCTCATTCCTGGTTGAAGACTTCACTAATGATTCTCACCTGGGTTTCGTGGTCAACCCCCCACAACTTCACTTGCCTGTAACTACCTTAAATCAGTGATCAGGAAACTGGAAATGGTCAATCAGTTACTAGCCAAGGAAGTCAAAACCGGTTCATGATCCTCGAATTCTGTTAATCACCATTCTCCATCACCAGGATTAACCTCAACCACAACCAAGAAACACTCTGGCAAGGAACACCTCATAATTGATCTCTCCACCCTTCTTGGAAGCTCAGTCCTGAGCATCAACAGTCTCATTCCCAGTGATGACAATAAATATGCAATGGTCAATTAATAAAACTTGCCACAAGGGGCATCTGGCTGACAAAACCAGGGTTTTTAGGGTCTGGCCTTATTGGCACCTATTCAGAGTACATTGGTGAGACTCATTCTACTTTTCATTCAGACTCTAGTTTGGTTATAAAAGATGCCCAGAGCTGTTTGTCCTTGTGTTGGATTCTACAAAATTCAACACCTGGTCCACCTTCTAGATGACTTCCTCTTCATATCTCCCTCATTTCTACCTGACCATCTCTTCCAACTCAGTGTCCCTCATGCTCATCATGACATGAGGAAACGAAGTAGCCTGTCAGCTTCTGCAGGAGGAGACAGAGAGAAAGTGTGTATTTGTTGAAGAAAACCTATCAGCAAACAGACTAGATTCACACATTAAGTTATCGCAATAACTGGCTCAGAGTTCAAATGTTTCTGGAACTGAAAACCCTTAGTTCTCCTTATTTCACTATGAACAACCCCCATGTTTTCACTTATCCTGCTTTTTTGAATGCTCACAAGTAACCAAAATCATGTGACTATGGACAGAGAAAAATACACGGTGTCCTGGGGACACCTATGGGGCCACAAAGAAGAAAAAAGTTAATAAAAAAAAGTCCAAAAGGCAACCAAGGTTAGAAAACACATACTGTAGCAGAGACTTAACGAGAACTAGGATTGTGTCTTATAAGCAGCGTAAACTGAGGATAAAACTTCAGGTAGAAATGCACATATTCATGAGTTGAACCCTAAAGCAGGAGAATAAGGGTGGATTATAGGAGAAATGGGAAGTAATCTAGTAAATCAAGTCTTCAGAGTTACTGTAGGCTGTAGTTTTTGTGGCTACTCCTATACACAGATGTGTTTCTGTTATGTAGCCTAGCCTCATTAATATAAACAAGGTGGGTAAAATAAAAGAAATATGTCAGTATAATGGCCCTGCGCTGGATTGGCGACCTGTCCAGGGTGTACCCCGCCTTCGCCCGATTGCCGGCCGGGAATGGCTTTTACACACACAAGGAATTTTTTTTGTATAAGGATAAGAAGAGTTGAGTATATAGGCCTGGGACATTTCTTTCACAACTACATTGCTTCAGAAACTCAAAGATAGAAAAGGCATCTTTTATAGGGGAGTGAGAATTTTTTATTTTTTTTTTTACATCATTTACCTAAACAAAACATTATTAATTCATGAAGGAATGAGGATACATGGGGATTTTATTGCAGACTGTATTATTAAACTGGATTAGTTTTTTTCTACTGTAAGTCTACTGATAAATGTATATTGAGTTTGTATGTTCTCTCTGACAGAATTCCTGGAGTTCATGAAAGGTGTTGAATAAAGGATTCACCTGGAGGCCTCACACTGCAGAATCATCACTTTTTACAACTTTATCTAAGGCAATGTGATGATAAATCAAATTGTCTCATATAAGGGCTATTTGAAATAAAAAGGATTTTCACAATTGTATATTTTGTCAGTCATAGTATATTACTGCCTAATAAAAACAAAACTGAACTTAAACAAGACAAATCCCACACTTGTACTTTTTAATATTAATGTTTTGGTCCACAGATCTTTATTAGGAAAAATATATCATCCAGAACCACACAAAGTACTATCTCTATATAGACCAAATAGACCTGGTGTATCCACACAATAAGGGTCATTGTGCTGATTTTCATAGTACATAATCTGAAGCTCTTATGTATTTTATTATATGATGAATCTGCAAAGAGTTCTTCATAGCAAATTGTGTCTTGGGTAGACACTGGAATGCCTGGCTTTCTTGGTGGCATTGCACTGTGGTTTGACTACTGGTAAGGATCCAAACCTTGACTCCTCAACCCTGAACATTGTGAAAGTAATACTTTTTAGCATTTACTTTGTAAAACACACAAGTTAATCCACAGCAAACAGTGATCTAAAATGATAGTCAAAAGCAGTTAAAATCACACTATACTCAAAATATATCATCACTCATGTTAGCTGATATTATTTTAAGAAAGTCTCATACAGAATATGTAAGTGACATTCTCTTAACACCAAGATTACCAAAATTATTATTTTGTGATCATAATGCATTTAGAAATCACATTCAGTCATATCTACGATCACAGACCGTAAATATGTAAATCAGAGAGAGCTGGGAAGGTCAAACTTATAGAATTACCAACAGAATAAGGGGTTGCAGTCTGGAGCCCTGATGTGATATTTATGAAATTAAAACAGTTTTCTCTGTATATTCCGCATCCATGCACACTGCTGAAAATATGTTTGTGAACACAAAGAGTGCATTAGAGCTCAACAAATAAAAATACATCAAAATGAGCCCACTTAGTACACCTGAATACTCTCAATGATGTTGATAACATGGCTGCAGGTGAATTGACATTTAAAAATCCAAAATGTAATAAAGAGGGCCAAGTAGAGTCCCCTCATGGCTGCTAAAAAACTCTAACCCTCTATGGCATGGTGTTGTCCTCAGGCAACAAACCACTATTTTGGCCCACATGTCACAAAGTTTGATAATAGGTCTTGTTACCAATGAAATTTGAGGTGGGCCTGGGTTTGACCTTTCGCCTTGGGGTGGAACAGTCCTTTTTGGGAACATAGTTGGCTTGGACACACTGCTAGCAGAAGGTAAGATAAATTTCACAGTTTAACATGTTTAAGTTTAAATAACTTTGTATAAATAATATCTCTGATGTGCATGAATACGTGAAGAAGCATATTTGAATGAGTAAAGACACCTTTTATCTTTATCTATATACTAAAATGGTAGTTTTTCATTTGTTGCCTCAGGGCAACATTGTGCCGTTAGAGCACTTTTGGTTGAACAATAACATACTCATGGATGGAGATGTGCAGGGATGCATAATTACCACCATAATCAACTTTTTGCTGTACTATCTACTATTACTCATAGGAAGTGGATGTACAAACATTTTATGAGTGTAAGGGATATGATCGAGCAGTTAGGCTCATTCCTACCGACAGCGAGGACAGTGAGCTTGAGGAGATTGACAGTGAGGAGGAGTGGACCCCAGAATCAGGTTTGAGGGAGTTAGGAGATCAGGGTTCAGTCAGTAGAGTAACATACTGTATGTAATGAACATGTGTGTGCATGTGTTCATCAGTGGGTGAAGAGGTATATGACCTATTCTAATTTTAGGCTTCCTGGGTTCTTTTGAAAACAGATGGCCTGTCTGACAATGAGTCTGTGGGTGAAGAGGAAAATGAAGAAGATGATGATGTATCAAAAGGTGTTCCATGCTTACCCTGGTGGAGAACACCCCACAGTGCCAACATCACTGATCACCCAGAATGTTAAGCCAGTCTTCCAAAATCAGCCAATATCATGTCCCCCTACGAATACCTCAAGATGGTTTTTTCTAAAGACATAGAAGGCTAATTAAACTCAAAGTCAAAGATTTAACCCTTGTGTGGTGTTTGGGTATGTGAGACCCATTTTCACTTTTTAGCAAAGGAAAAAAGATACAAGCAATTATTTTTTCAGGCTCAGTCGGTGGCATTGGCTCATTCTCTGTGAAGAACATACAACACAACACATTTTCAATGACCACACACTTAGAAGAATAGAATGAGATTGAGCATAAGCCCCTCTGCCCCTCATTTGTTGGGGATGAAGTACACATCTGTTGAGTAGTTTAGCATAAAATTGTTTGATTTTGTATGTAGAAGGGATATTTACGGGTATTGCACCTGTAAATTTACCTTGTACATACAGATCTGTCAATGCATAAGCCAGTTCCAAAATGAAGGTTCTGAGTCTGAAGTCATCTTGAGGAGGATTCAGGAGGAGAATGCTGGTGCTGCATCCAGAGGTGTGAATGAGGATAAGGACCTTTATTTGGCCAAGTAGTACAAGGAATTGTTTCAGTACAGAACCGAGGCAGCCATCTGCAGCGCCAAATTATACCGATGGCTCTAACCATCAGGGGCAACTTGGGGGTTCAGTGCCTTGCCCAAGGACACTTCGACACATGGACAGCAGGTACCATGATTTGAACCTCCAACCCTCCAGTTGGGAGATGACAGCTCTACCCAGTGAACCACAGTCGCCCACAAGTTACGACCCTTATGTTTTGAGAGAGACAATCAGAATCAGCTTTATTAGCCAGGTGTGTTCCAGTGTCTCCACTTCAAGCATTTACATCTCTATGCTCTCACATGTAACACCTTCCACCCCTGCACACTGGGTACTGGACAGACATACTAACTATAGCTCAGCCAGTGTTGTCCTTCACATTTCACAACTGATATCTCAACGGATTAAGATGGCAAAAAGAGTCCCTGCTCAGAGGGCCTTTGAAGTAATTTTGGAAGAGAGACAAGCTTCTGTTGATGAAGTAGAGGAAGAGGTTTCAGAATATGAGGAACACATTTCTGAAAATTCTGAGTCTGACAGTGACTTACAAATAACTAACATGTGCGGGAGCATTTCCTCCTGTGTGGCCTGTGTTGTCTCTCTCCAGGTCAGAGAGGTCCAGGAGGATGGAAAGTCCAAAGTGAGAGCAGGAGATTTTGTGTATGTGAAGGTGATCAGGAGGAAGTGAGACCTCCCTCGCAGAAGAGGCCTGTATGTGGTGTAATAGGTTCTGAAGACAAAGATGACTTGGAGCGGATCATGATTTTAGAAGAGGAAGATGTGATCCAAGGGATGCCTTGAATGAGGAGGGAGTACGAGTGAAGTTGATGCTCGCCCTGACAATGAGCCTGGTTATGATCCAGCTGTGTTTTCATCTAGTCGACCTGCATGAGGAGGGAGCACAAGCGAGTGGTGTCGAGGTCAGTGATGCTTAGAGCAGTTGAGAAAAAGACATGCAGCTAGTGAGGATGAAAAAGCAGATGGTGATGAGGATGATGACCCTGAGGTGATAGAATGAAACTACAAGGGAGTGAACTAATCAAAGGACAATGGACTTGGACATTATATTTTCATACATTCATATTACACACAATTCATGCATAGAGGTTATTTAGTACTTTGTCATTCATAAATTCTACTTAATTGCTTACATCACTGAGTATTTTCATCTGATATGTATCTATGAGCAGCAGATTTTTGGTCTGAGCTTGTATTCTCATATATAAGGGAGTTAGATTACAACATATTTAATAGGTAATACTTAACATTTACATAAGCAGATTAGTTAACATCACAAATGTTTGGGCTACAGCTATGTTATATTTTGAGTTCAGTTTCAGGAATCTAGTGTACCTTATTCGAACCAAGTATATTTTTATGCTTCAGGTCTATATTTTCAGGGTGTGTGGGTGGTGCTCATGTTTCCTGAGTTGCAGCTCATTGTTGTTTGCTCATTTGTTAATGTTTAATTCAAGGCTTAAAATGTTTATTAACATTGCCACCTTAGTGTGGGAGGTTAAGCTGTGTTCCTATGTCCAGGGGTTAGCATATCATGGCCTTCAAACAGTTACTTAAGTAGTAGTAAAGATGCCTGTGTAAAAAAGACAAATGTAAAAGTAGAAGTACTGATTCAAACTCTTTACTCAAGTAAAAGTAAAAAAGTACAAATACTGAAAAGTACTCAAAGTATAAAAGTAAAAAGTAGACATTTCGACCAGCTGTTTATGTGCAAACATAACTGAACCTCATGTAATATTTATATTTCCAAGACTATTAACCATTCTAACTGCAAATAACATTAAAAAATACCAAAAATAATAAACATAACTAATGAGAACATTTATGGTCTAATTAAGCCTTAAAGGATGCAGACAGTCATTTTCTACATTGTTTTTTCAACAGTTCAATAGTTTTAGTCCCATATAGGGACTAAAACTAACAGTGAATTTCCTCTACTCATAGTTAATGTCTGTCAGTCTCCAACCTGGATTATCTTATTCATCTGTTCCATAGACTGTCATGATTCGGTTCCACTGCTTCCCGTTCCGGCTTTTATTTTGACACTGTTTCCTGTTTTGTTTCACCTTAGTTCTGGTCTTTTTACGTTCTCCATCGCTCACATTAGTTTCACCTGTTCACACCTCTATTTAGGCAGCGTCCTCCCATGAGGACGCTGCCAGATTGTTCTAGACCCCAGCTCTGACTTTCCCGCATTCCTTCGGTTTTGGTATCTTGTGTTTTGACCCGGATTGTTTCTTTGGACCATTCTCTTCTGCCTCGCCCACGGTGTATGATTATCGGACTGTCTCTATTGGACTACGAACTTCGGATTACCCTGGATGTATGTGTTTGCTGGCTCTGACCTCGGACTGTTAATAAGGACATGTGAGTTTTGTGTTGTCACCGTGTCTCGTGTAGTTTCCGTTGTTCAATGTTAGTTCCCTTATTAAAGAGACATTTTTGTTTTACACTTACTCGTCTGGCAGTATAATTGA